GGATGTTACACGTCAAGCTAGTGTATGGGCCACTGTCTGGAAACTATGATGCTGAGGAAAGTACAAATAGCAGACGGTGACAACCAGACTAAATGTCTCATCGTAATCAACTTTTTTTTTGTTGATTGCATCTATTTTCAATAAGTCGTTCTTTGTAATGAGAAGGAGATCCATCTACATAAAATTTATGGTGAAATAGCCACATAGATCTGACAATATTAACGCCTTGAGGTCATGAGACTAGAGTCCAAGTTCTATTCGAGAATAAAGAATTATACTCATCATGTATAGACTGCGCTAGTTGGGGTCCTACAAGGCATGCATATGAGATTTAAAGACATGATAATGAGAAGAGGGATAAAGATTTAGGCGATGGATAGGTTTAACTATACCACTACGATCTATAGTGGTCATAGGGTAAGTGGGATTAGGTACATATGGAGACGATGAAGATGAATGATTGTTTCGGTCAGTGTTTGGGGAAACCAATAGCAATGGAGAATTGAATGGAGTGGACTGAGTAGAGGGACTGAACACTGGAGAGGATGTGGAACCCGATGGAGTAAGAGGGTTGGATGGTGGTGTAGGACCTGAGGGTATGGTAGGAGATGTAGGAGTAGGGTTTGATAAAGTGTGGAAGCTATAACACTCGCAAATTGAGGCTACACATAATAAGTAATATTATTAAAGTTAAATCCTTGATTATGATAATCTATAGCCGTGCCCATTGTAGACTATATAATACAAGTTTTGTATTAAGGAAAAATAGGAAAAAATCAGTTGAATCGTATGTAAGTCGCAAAAATAACTGCGCCAAAGCATATATATATATATATATATATATATATATATATATATATATATAGAAAATATATGTCATCCTGATCCCGAAAATATAAATTTCATAGAAATCCGACTTCGTATGAATTAGATATGATTTTTATAAAGATATAAAAATCAGTCGGGCAAAATGAATGTGTGACGTTAAAAGGTACGAAGAGAATGATTGACTTTTGGGCAAAGTCACCAAAGTGAAAGTCGTAGTACTCTTTAAGATAGAAATTTTGGTAAAAGGAAAACCAAAATTGAAGTCCGTACGAGAGAGTTATGATTTTTGCAAAATCATTAAATCTTATGAAAGTAGGGATGAAAAATAAATTCAGAATTAGCTGATAGAGTCTAAAGGAAAGTTGTAGTACACCTCGAGAGCTACACGTGGAAAAAAGAACATCAAAAATGGAGTCTGTAAGAAGAAGTTATGGAATTTACAAAATCTACGATTTGTGCCCTGTGTAGTGCGTGACGTGCGCTTCTAAAAAGTAAAAACGTGGACCACAGAGAGGCTGAAACGTGGCAAAAAGTGGCTGCAAAGATGTAGCCTTAAAATGTGCAACGTTCATCCCTTTTGCACATTGTGCACCCAAAATTTGGCTATAAATAAAGCTTCATCCTCCATTTCATTCCTCACACTTTCTCTCTTGACTTCCTTCGATTTTTCCCCATTTTCCCTTAGTTTTAGACTGCAGCAAAGCCCTACGACACTCCTAAATACTCATTTGAGTAATAGCCTTCGAGTAGGAGATCCTGAGTCACTATTCTGCCTGCTTAGATTCGGGTTTTCATCAAGAACCTATGTAAGTTAAGCTACACTCTATCTCTTCCATTGTAACTTATATTTATAGTTATAAGTTGTTATTATGAACCCAGTGTTGTAAAACTCGCCGAGTTGGCCGATTACTCCTCCGAGTACTCGCTACTCGGCCCCTTACCTAGGCGAGTTACAAAATCCCGAGTACTCCCCAATCGGCCTATTTACTAAACTGAGTAGTTTTGTAAAACATGGTCAACTCGGTGATTAATATGTATAATATACTTAATGATTTATTATTTAACACATACATATGATTATTACTACATATATATCTTAAATTTTCAGTAATTATTCGCGAAGTAAGACCATTATGTGATTTTTCAGCTTTTGTGTATTCACATGTATATAATTTTGTTATATATTTCAATCAACTTATGATTTTAACTTATGATTTTGACATATATAATTTCCCTAAAAATATTTCTACATGAATTACCGAATCCGAGTACTCCCGAGTACTCCCGGGTACTCGCTACTCGGTAGTCGGCCGAACAGGTACCGAGTAACGAGTTCTGCAACCTTGTATGAACCTATAAATAAGATTTATCAGTAATTTCATATCGTTATACTGATTGATCTACTTATGTGGATAATGTCTAAGTTGGATTTAGTGAAGTGTTTAACGTAGGATTTCCAAACAGTATACTATATATGCTAAACGGACCCTACATCTGATATGATCCTACCTCGTTATCCCTTATAAGCCATAGATAAGTAGAATTTGGAATTAATGATGGATCTAGGATATCTTTATTCATAAGGAATATTAGTCTAATACTTAGTGTTAATTGAACCTAGGTCACGTCAAAGGAAAATCTATGTGCTAAAGCAAAGCATTGCCCGAGTTTCGAGTCATCACTTTAACAAGTAAGTGCATAGTTACTTTCATCTTATATATATATATATATATATATATATAAAGTATTTAAGATAATTACATGCTATATGTTCATGTTATTTGTGTTCCTGATATCTATGTTAGATGAACACTATATACATGCTTTATTTGATTTTAAACTGTATATGTATTTTATTACCTATAAATATATTGGGTAAAGATAGGTAGATGTAAGATGATATAGATGTTAAGAGATGAAAGATGATATAGATAATGAAAGGCATATTAGATAAATATTAGCAGCTATGGACTTCGTGCTCATTAGGTAAGCACCGACAACGATGGACTTTGTGCCTAAACACCAGCAAAGATGGACTTTGTGCCTATTCTTCAGGACAAATCCTTAGGAATAAAAATAGAAAAAAAAAACTTACTAACATGTATTGTGGAGAAATACCTATAATAGTACTATCAGCAACGATCATTAAGATGATCATTAGGGTAGATCCTTAGGAATAAATATACAAGAAAACCTACTGACAAGTATCATAGAGGAATCCCTTAACTAGTGTTGTCAACATAGATGATCATTAGGGTAGATCCTTAAGAATAAAGAAGATAATGAGAATGAGAAATTGGGTTAATTGTTTGATAATTAAACATATTAACTATATTATGATGGGTTGAAAACCCTATGTACTCACCAGGTTTCCCAACCTGATCCACTCAACTTCTTTGTATCACAGATAGCGGTATAATGTTGCATGCATGAGGAGAGATTCAAGGAGATTTAGACTGTTAATATAATGAGACATTATAAGTCTCCTCTTATGCTTATGTTTTTGTATTGATGAAGACATCTCGAGTTTTATAAATAAAACTAGGGCTGTAAACGAACCAAACGAACACGAACAAGGTCTTGTTCATGTTCGTTCGTTTAAGTTAGCCGAATAACAAACGAACACGAACGGATAAACGAACGAGATTTTCTTGTTCATGTTCGTTCGTTTAACAAATTACTTTGTTCATGTTCGTTCATTTATGTTCGTGAACATGCTAAACGAACATAAACGAACAAACATAAACGAACAAAGATAAAAAAACACAATTAAACATATATGAACATAAACGAACATACTCCCTCCGTCCCAAAATTATTGTCCACTACCAAAAGTAGATATACACTTTTACCATATTACCCCTAACATTTAATAAAGTAAACTTGAATAATTACAAATGCACATTTCCCATTGGTTTTGGAAAAAGGCAAGAGAGTCATTTTACTCAAAAAGACAAAACTAATGATTGCTTTTCTTAATCTATGTTTTTTTTGTCTGTGGACAATAATTTTGGGACAGATGGAGTATAATATAGCAATATAATAAAAAATAATTGAATATAGATGAATATAAATAAACTTAAACGAACGAACATACACAAACGTAAATGAACATCGTAAACGAACGTTCACGAACATAAATGAACGAACGAGATCATTGTTCATGTTCGTTCATTTAACTAAACGAACGATAATTTTTGTTCATGTTCGTTCATTTATTAAATAAACGAACATAAACGAACTTCCCGCCGAACAGTTCACGAACGGTTCACCGAACGTTCAGTTTGTTTACAGCCCTAAATAAAACATATTTCTTCAAAAATGTTTTGATAACATTATCATCATGTTTTTGGGGACTAATTTCGCATAAAAATCTTTTTAAAAAATACTCTGATTTAGTAAGCTTGATAATACGTTCACAACACTACTAAGAACTTTTTTTCCTTCAAAAGCAACGAAAAACACCAATATGAGATTAAAAATGGAGGAGGGAAAATTAGGGTTTCTTCAAGGGGCTTAGGAGGTGATGGAGGTTGAGGGTGAAGGAAACCCTAACCCTTCACTTCCTTTAAATAGGGTCCAAGTCCGAAAATTAGAGTTTGCCCCTGATCATGTGTCATGTTGTGACCATCATAGTGTCACGTCATCGTGACAATTAAATGAGACTTCCCGATTTTCACGGCCATGTCACGACGTGGAGATGTTTCCCTCACGTCGTGACCCACCCAAAACTCATATATTACTTAAAATTTCGTACCTCGAGGATCCGGATGTTACATACGATACATGTAATTTCCTATTTATCTATTTAATGAGATAAATCAGTTTATGGGAAAATAATATATTTCAATATTCTTAATGGTTGTTATATGTATGTTAGGTAGTTTTCAAACAAATTATACATAATACCAAGAAGAAAGACATTAGAATGAAATTGAAATCCTAAAAAAGGCTGTGTAGAGTATATATACTAGTTTTTACAAGTCTATAATGCTCTATGTGTGATGCTACATGTAGTAGCACACAAAACCAATAACTTTCAAATCAACTTAAAACTATGGTCGAAACTACTTGTAGCCCACAACTTAGGATTTATAAGGGGATTAAAGTTTGAGAATTCACATAGAAGGTGGGTCGGGATATCACAAACTAAGTATCAAACTTTCGACATCTTATTTGATTTGTCTCCAAGCCGAAACTCTAACTAATGGAATTTCTCTCCATTCCAACACCATTTCATTATGATCATCTCCTTCAACTCTAATCTTGTATGGAGTTTCTCCTTCCCTTACCATTTCTCTAGCTTCATTCCGGCTTTCCATGGTCATCCGTTCACCTTTTAAACCGAAACCCTCTTGGAAAACCATGTCTTCTCTTTGTTCTTTCCATTTTTGGAACCAAGAGAAAGATGATACATAAGGCGCAAGAAAAAGAGTCTCCATAGCTATCCTCGCTTCATTGAGATAACTAGGAAAACCCCATTCCATTGATTCGTACAGCGCTTTGTAGTGTGCCAAATGTTTGTTAAAGAATGAAGCGTAGTCTGGGGAATTCCCCATTCTTTCACTTTCTTCTCCATCTCCAAAGGTTATGATGCCTTTGTTTTTCGCTAAAATTCTTTTGGCTATATTTATAAACTCTAAAACTTGAGTTGTTCTTCTTGTCCTTCCCATATGTGGAAGGCCAACCATACAGTTAAAGGCCAGGAATTTATTTCCAGAATTTCTGCCTCCAATTCCTTTCACCATTTGTGACAATTCCATCTCTGCTACCATCAAATTTAGACAAAAAGTTCTTGCATAGTTAAGAAGCTGCCTCTTCGTCTCCTCAAATCCTGAGACATGCTCTTCTAGTTTGATACTTGTGATGGTTAATGATCTTTTTGCTCGTGCCATGGCTTCAATCACAGGAGGCCATTGAGTTCCTTCGCCTATGTCGAAGTCAATTATGTGAACTGAGTCAACATAGGTGGGAACTGCTTGAAGGATGACTGAACTCGATGTAAAATGAGCAAACCGACCATAAGGAAAGATATCGTAGAAGGCTCTGAATGCTGGATTGAAGTTTCTTATTGATTCTTGTTTAAGGTATGCTTCTCCTTGATTTTCTTCTGGCTGGAACAAATTGAGGGCTAAGCGTTCGAGGGGTGACCCAATGGTGTTGGTCTTTTCACTTATGCATTTCACTATCACTGTGGCAAGTTCTCCCTGTCCCTTTCCCATAGCATCTGCATAAGCCATTAGTAGATTATGTATTCCTTCTTGGGACTCACTTTCCATGGAATCATCTGTTTGTTCCATTGGTGACTGATGTTCTGATGGTGCACATACGGAAGACGCACTGGATTGGTCGCTTTGGTTGGGACTCATCAATACATGGTCACCTCCGATAGACCTTTTGGTTGGAATCTCTTCCATCTGTTGATCATCAACACACAACCATCCACAAACATCACCAAACCCCTTCATGTTAATTACCGATGACGGGTTATGCATAAGATCATAATCAGAGGATAACGTGGGGAAGTTGGCCGATGAAAATTTTGAGGAGTTTTCAGACTCGGAAGCGATTAAAGAAGAAAAGTCGTGATGTTCCCCTTCATAAACTTCTATTTTTGGATCATAATGATCAAGATCTGAATGAAAAGAAGAGTGAGGTCGCCAAGAAGGTGAAAGCAGAAGCTGCGACGACATCATATACTTTTATTGTTTTTATGATGATCTCAAAGTTAAGTTTTGAGAGAGTTCTCTGTGTCCAGTTGTGATGATTTTGGGTGTTCCTTGATGTGTTTTTATATATCATGTTGGTTGAAAAATGTCAACAAAAAAGTTAGAAAACGGCGTTATAAAACAAGGCAGGTTAACTACTAAAAAAGGACACTGTTGGTCTTCCTTCATGTATGCCTTGGATTTTTCTTTAAAGTAGGTCAAGGTGCCCCCATCATACTCAGATTACAATATTAAAATGGGTAAATTCCAAGACATAACCATGATTTTCTTAATATTAATCGGGCAATTTATTTTGTTTTTACTGATGTACTTAAAAAAGTTATATCCATACTACGAATGTACTTAAAAGTAGCTTTCATGTAAAATAGCAGCTGGAAATTTCAAATGTATTTTATTATTTACCGGTGATATCAATATATATATTTATAATTCTTTGCACATAATATTAACTTACTTACAATTCCTTATTCATAATGACATTATGCATATATGTTACAAATAATAGTATTATAGTAATTAATATGTAGTAACTTGCAACTTGTAGGCATTTAACAAGTTTCAAGTTATATAGTTTATTATCAGTAGATTATTCTTTGCACATAATATTAAATATTTAAATGTAACGGTGTTACTAGCTATTGTAAGTAAAAAGTAAAAATACGTTACTATTATGGAGAAATAAAAACAAATTAATTGTTAAAGAAAGTAAAATGGGTTGGCTATTCATGGGAATTTGATTGGATAACAAGCATGCATCATGGTTTAGTAATAGTATAAAATTAACAATTTGTATAATGATTAATCAAAGAAAGAAAAATAGTTTTACTCCCATTTTTGCACTTTTATTTCGAAATCTATTGAGAAACACTTTCAACGTATTCAAATATGTTTTTCTTCTTCATATGGTTTAGATTCAAATAATATACTTGGATTTGGTATTGCGAAATTAGTTTTGCTAGTCCTTTGCTTGTAAGACAAGTCTTATTGCAATGTACGAAGTTATCCCGCCCACACAAAGACGCTAGCCAGACATGGCATCTATTGTGCTTCCAAGATAACTTCAACACGCCGTGATGATCCTGAATGTCTGACAATACTTCTCGATAATGTTTGCGTCTTTCACGTTGTTGGTGCTAAACCAATGCTAGCTACGCTTAGGCATCCAATCACACGTTTAACAAGGATATAATCATTTGAATATTTGCTACTACCACCAAGATTCGTATCGACAGTCGCTCCGCCAAGGCTCACGCCTAAGGTTTTACAGCGACCGTCGCACCCTCTTACTCATCAGGGCTTGGCACGGCCGGGTGTAGGTCACGCTTTATTTCGAAATCTATTGAGAAACACTTTCAGCATAAACGTATTCAAATATGTTTTTCTTCTTCATATATGGTTTAGATTCAAATAATATACTTGGATTGGTATTACGAAATCGGTTTTGCTAGTCCTTTGCTTGTATTTTACTATATATATATATATATATATATATATATATATATATATATATATATATATATATAAGGCGAATGTCCGTGCGTTACGTAGAAACACCTATATAGTTGAAGTTTTTACAGATAGATATTTTTTTTAAATATAAAAACAACGTTGTTGTTAAATTTGATATAATAATTTTTATACTGAATTGATATAATATTGATTATTCTGAATTATATGATAACATATATATATATATATATATATATATATATATATATATATATATATATATATATATATATATATCAATCGTTTGAATGATTTCTACCTACGAGTTTACACATGAATAAAATTAAATATAATATATGATTTAATGTTAATTATACTTATAATAACTGTTAATTAATTTTTTTTAAAAATTATTTGATTGATATTTTAATTTCTATCATTATAATTATTTAAAACATCAAACATTATTTTTTGCTTTTAAAGGTAACAATATAATTATTTATGTAGAGTTAATTTTAACTATTATTATTGTAAGTTATTTTAAACTACTAATTTGGAAACTTTTAACAATTATAAAAATATCTTTAGGAAATGTTTTAGTTAAATTAAGATTACAATTTAGTCTTTTGTATTTATCACTACAATTTATCACTTTTAACTCTATATAAAATATTCTTTAAGTTGACATTGTAATGTGCAGAAACATCTATATAGTTGAAGTATTTACAAATATATGTTTTTTTAAATATGACAATAACGTTATGTTAAATTTGATATAATAATTCGTAGACTAAATTGATATAATATATTTCTTATTTTGAATTATATATAACATATGGTTTAATGTTATTTATAGTTGTTGTTATTGTTAACTAATTTTTAAAATTTATTTGGTTAATGTTTTAATTTCTATCGTTATAATTATTTAAAACACCAAACATTATTTTTTGATTTTAAAGGTAACAATATAATCATTTTTATAGAGTTATTTTTAACTATTGTTATTGTCAGTTATTTTAATTTATTTATTTGAAAACTTTTAACAATTATAAAAATATGTTTATGAAATATTTTAGTTAAATTGATATTACAATTGAGTTTTTGCATTTATCACTGCATTTGATTGCTTTTAACTATTTACAAAATATCCTTTGGTTTTTTAAGTGAAACTGAAATTTATTTTAAGTTGAAATTGTAATGTTATATTTAAGTTAACAATTTAAGTATTTTATTCAAATTGTTCAAAAGTTGTAACTTTAAACTGATAATGATCTACATATAACAACATATTCAATCTAATAAATTAAGTATAATATGACAAAAGTTAAATACATAACTTTATAAGTGGAAATAAAGATATTATTTTAAAATTGAAATTTAATTTATTTATGATTACATTTTAGATTTGATATTTATTTAACTTTATTAACCAACTTATAATTATTATTAGAAAGATACTACAATTTATCACTTTTAACTATTTATAAAATATTCTTTGGGTTGTATAACTTAAACTAAAATTTATATATATTTAAGTTGACCCTATAATGTTATATTTAAATTAATAATTTAAGTATTTTATACAAATTGTTTCAAAAGTGTATCTTTAAAATGATAATGGTTTACATCCAATAACATATTAAAACTAATAAATTAAGTATAATATGTTAAAAGTTAAAAAAACATAACTATATAAGTAGAAATAAAGATATTATTTTAATATTGAAATTTAGTTTATATATGATTACACTTTAGGTGTGATATTTATTTAACCTAATGAACAAAGAGTTTCAAATGAATGTGCTGAAAGGAAAAATACATGGGAGTTTCAGATGAATGTGATGAATAAAACTCTACATCAACCCAATTTGAGTTTATATGAATTTATATTTGAAAAGTTGCAATTGTTTTCTTACATCTTACATACTCTTCAAACCTTACAAATATAATTTATCAGTTGACATACATGCAATATACAATCTGCAAATTTCTTATATAGGCTAATATTTCATTTAACTCATCAATTAAATAACATGATTTGAAGAGTTTTAAGAGTTACAAATCATAATATTTTAAGTAATCATAAATTAATTTGTATAAGTTGAATAGTCTTAAGAGTTTCAAATGTATGAGATTTAAGGAAAAATGGTCTTGAGAGTTTCAAATGCATAACGTGTTGCGCAGAAACACCTATATAGTTGAAACCTTTAATAATATATGTTTTTTAATTATAACAATAACGTTGTTGTTAAATTTAATATAATAACTTGTATACTAAATTGATATAATATATTGATTATTTTGAATTATATGATAATATATACATCTATTATAACTGTATAATCTCAATCGTTTGAATGACTTCTACCCGCGAGTTACTCATGAATAAAATTAAATATAATATATGGCTTAATTTTATTTATAGTTTTTGTTATTGTTAATTATTTTTTTTTTAAATTTATTTTTTTAACGTTTTAATTTCTATCATTATAATTATTTAAAACATCAGACATTGTTTTTTATTTTATTTTAAAGGTAACAATATAATTATTTATATAGAGTTACTTTTAACTATTGTTATTGTAAGTTATTTTAAACTACTTATTTGAAAACTTTTAACGATTATATAAATATCTTTAGGAAGTATTTTAGTTAAATTGATATTATAATTTAGTTTTTTCATTTAGCACTACAATTAATGATTACTTTTAACTATTCACAAAATATTCATTGGGTTTTTTTTAAGTGGAACTGAAATTTATATTTAAGTTGACACTGTAATGTTATATGTAAATTAACAGTTTAAGTATTTTGTCTAAACTGTTCAAAAGTTGTAGCTTTAAATTGATATTGGTTTACATACAACAACATATTAAATCTAAGAAATTAAGTATAATATGTTAAAAGTGAAAGACATAATGTTATAAGTAGAAGTAAATATATTATTTTAATATTGAAATTTAGTTTATTTATGATTACACTTTAGGTTTAATATTTATTTAACCTTATTAATCAAATTATAATCATTATAAGAAAGACACTACAATTTATCACTTTTAACTATTTACAAAATATTATTTAGGTTGTTTAAGTTAAACTAAAATTTATATTTAAATTGGTCCTGTAATGTTATATTTAAATTTATAATTTAAATATTTTATACAAATTGTTCAATAGTTGTAGCTTTAAAATGATAATGGTTTATATTCAACAATATATTTATAATTTATATTTAAGTTGATCCTGTAATGTTATATTTAAATTTATAATTTAAATATTTTATACAAATTATTCAAAAGTTATACCTTTAAAATGATAATGGTTTACATCCAATAATATATTAAAACTAATAAATTAAGTATAATATGTAAAAAGTTAAAAAAAAAAACATAACTTTATAAGTAATCGTAAATATATTTCTTCTTAATATTCAAATTTAGTTTATATATGATTACACTTTAGGTTTGATATTTATTTAATCTTATTAAGCAACTTATAATCATTATTATAAAGAAATT